GTCGTCTACTGGTCTTCCGTTACAGCCTGGCTCACCGCTGCCTGCTCCTTCTCCTTACACTGAGCAGACAGGTAGTCTTGCTGAGCGTCGTGAGCCTGCGTCGCGTCCTGTCTCGCCTGTTCGTCCTAGTCATACCGGTCGTCGTGTTTCTCGTCCGCGTCAGCCGGCTGTCCCCGGCACACGCCTTGTAGCCCTGCGTCGGTCCCCTACTCCGGAGCGTACTCCTCTTCCGTCTCCCCCTGCGTCCTCTTTGCCTGACGTCGCGGACTCTGATTCTGACTGGTTTCGTGCTGAGCACCCTACTGTCACGCGTCTGCTAGCCACTGTTGTCACTGACCCGTCGTTTGAGTCTGCTGCTGCGTCTGCCCTGGTCGCTGAGCTTGTTGACTTTGCTGCTGCCTGTCGTCTAGACTACGCTGCTAGTCTTGTTGCTGAGTCTGAGTCTGTCTGTCCTCCGTCCGTCGGGGGTGAGTGTGCTCTTGGCACGGACGTCCTAGAGGACAGGCACGAGGACCTTGAGTGTCTTGCAGCCGCTACGCCTCATCTCGTGGCCATGCTGCTTGCCCCTGAGGGAGACCCGGATGCTATAGACATCCCCACACCGCGCTCTTACGCTGAGGCGATCGCGGGTCCCTACTCCTCTCAGTGGCAGGCAGCCATGGACGCAGAGATGGCATCCTGGAAGTCCACAGGCACTTACGTCGATGAGGTTCCCCCTTCCGGGGCGAACATCGTCGATGGCATGTGGATTTTCAGGGTGAAGCGGCCGCCAGGTTCTCCGCCTGTCTTCAAGGCGCGTTACGTTGCTCGAGGCTTCAGTCAGCGAGAGGGAGTTGACTTCTTCCAGACCTTCTCCCCCACCCCAAAGATGACTACTCTTCGGGTGCTGCTGCACGTTGCCGCTCAGCGTGACTACGAGCTTCACTCCCTTGACTTCAGCACAGCTTTCCTACAGGGCAGCCTGCACGAGGAGATCTAGCTGCGCCGCCCACCTGGCTTCACTGGGTCGTTCCCTCCTGGTACCCAATGGAGCCTCCGCCGGCCAGTCTACGGTCTCCGCCAGGCACCCCGTGAGTGGCACGACACACTGAGGACTACCCTTGCGGCTCTTGGGTTTGCGCCTTCGACTGCTGACCCTTCACTGTTTCTACGCACCGACACTTCGCTGCCGCCGTTCTATATCCTCGTGTACGTCGACGACTTGGTCTTTGCTACTGCTGACACTGAGGCCCTCGCCCTGGTGAAGTCCGAGCTGCAGAAGAGACACACGTGCACAGACCTGGATGAGCTGCGCAGCTACCTTGGCTTGCAGATCACCCGGGACCGAGCACGCCGCACCATCACACTGACTCAGTCACACATGGTGCAGCAGGTCCTTCAGTGCTTCGGCTTCACCTGGTCCTCAGCACAGGCCACTCCTCTGGCTATAGGTCACTCGCTCTCAGCTCTGCCTTCGGATGAGTCCGTAGAGCCGAGTGGTCCTTACCCAGAGCTAGTGGGCTGCCTCATGTACCTGATGACTTGCACTCGTCCTGACCTTGCGTACCCTCTTGGCCTTCTGGCTCGCTACGTGGCTCTTGGTCGGCACCGAAAGGTGCACTGGGATGCTGCGAAGAGGGTACTGCGCTACTTGTGCAGTACATCGGGCATGGGGCTCGTGCTTGGAGGACGGCGAGAGGTGGTCCTCACTGGGCACTCAGACGCTTCTTGGGTTGACGACCAGGCTACGCAGCGGTCGTCACAGGGTTACACTTTCAGCCTTGGCTCTGGTTTTGTTTCTTGGCGTTCTACTCGCTCGTCTTCTGTTCTCAGCTCCAGTTGTGAGGCTGAGATCTACGCCACCGCCATGGCTGCTCAGGAGTTACGCTGGCTCACCTACCTACTGACCGACTTGGGAGAGCGGCCTCGTTCTCCTCCAGTTCTGTACGTCGACAACAAGGCTGCCATTGCCTTGTGTGAGGAGCACAGACTGGAGCACAGAACGAAGCACATCGCTCTGCGTTACTTCCTGGCTCGAGAGTTGCAGCAGCGTGGTCAGCTTCGTCTTGCACACGTGGCCACTCGGGCCAACACTGCTGATATATTCACCAAGGCACTTCCGTCTGGTGATCATCAGCGCTTTTGTACTTTGTTAGGCCTTGTGCCTACGTTTCCACACTTGCTGTAGTCTTTTGTGTGTACTGTGCTCTATATTTATACCTGCATGCTTGCTCTTGCTAGGTATTGATCACTGTACTGCTCTTGTTGCTTATATATATCTCTGCATGTGGACTGGCCTTGTGGCCCTTTGCTTGTGCTTAGTGTGTGTGGTGACGTTGTGATCCACCCTGAGCTTGTTTTGTGTTTCTTGACTGGTCTTGTGACCCCTTGTTCTCCCCCACTTTGCCTATGGGGTGTGTCAAGCTGTATAAGTTATATGCTTGTGTAGGCTGTAGTGGGGTAGCCCATAAAGGGTACAACCCAATGTTAGGGTTAGCATATGTACCCAACTCTGTTTCAATCCATTCATTCCTGCTGCTAGATTCTAGCAACGTGCTGTCGTTTGCACCACATGGCAGTCATTGTGGTCTTGCAGCCTCTGCCATGCAGTTTCCGCGGTGCGCGGGAACCGTGCTGCCTGAGGCCCCTTGGGCTTTGTGATTTCCAAGGGGTCTCTTAGACTCTCGCCATTCTCTCACTTGTCTCTCGTTTGTTGTTCCGAATGCCTGCCTCAAAGCCAGATCCGCCTGGTAGCACCAGGAACGGTCTCTCCGTTCTCGGTGTGTTACCTCGGCTGAGATAGAACTATAGCGTTCCTATCTCTCAACCTGCGCGTGAGGCATCCCCTGAATGTGTTGTCGGCACCGTTTTCCCGTGCGAGCGTTCAGCCTCGCCAAAGTCATGGGAGCCACACCCGTCTCTCGAGCTTGTTCCCGATGGCGCTTGTTGCTGCTCATCGCCCGGCCCTGTATTGTTGGACTAATGCCTCCCACTCCAACCCGTATGTATGAGCATATGCAAATTTTCAACCCCTACCGCACTACAAGGGTTTGACTACAAGCGTGCCGGCCAGGAGCTTTGGATGTTCTTCAGGCGCTGGGGAACATGCTGCGCGACGAGGCGTGGCGTGCTTCGTTTCCCAACATCGTCCGGATGTGGCAGTCTGTCGCCGTGCTACCATTGAGCACGGTTGAATGTGAGCGCGGCTTCAGCAAGCAGAACCTGATCAAGACGTGGGACCGCGGCAGCCTCGGCGACACAAGCCTTGAGCACCTGATGCGGTGCTCCCTCCTGCAGTTCGACATAGACTGGTACGAGGTGGTCGCCGTATTCCGCGGTGAGAAGCTCAGGCGATCCACCAAGGACATCTCCGGCATGAAGGCCAGCACTTCACAACTTGCGGACGAAGCAGTTGCTAGTGCAGCAGACGTTGAGTAGTGGCTTTAGGATGGTTTATTTAACGTAATAGTAAAGTTTGTGTGCAGAAAACTTTAGTGAGTAGTAACTGTTGGTGTAGTAAATATTTGTGTGAAGGAAACAGTGTATGGGATATATTACCCTGCTGACATCAGTGTACCAGAATTTTTAGGCTGCTACAATCAGTGTACGAGAAAAATTACCCTACCAGTCAGGGTACGGGGGGCCTGCCACCCTGATTTGAAAGAGTGAGTTAAACCTATTTTGGGCCCTGACACCCACCATGTGACGTGTTACCGCTACAAGATGACTTGATCCAAGTACCACATTTGTCCAGCACATTAACACTAAGTACGGTACATAAATTAGGGGAGTAAGCACGAAGCTACGTTCGGCTTGGCGAAACAGCATACCCACCAGCGATAGATTAGCAGTCAGCTCATGTCAGTTTGTATGACCTTCGTCCTTCGAGGCTCCTATACTGAACTTCTGCAGAAGCTGTGATATCTCGTCCAAATGTGGCTCTTCCAAGGAGACCTGCATATGGAAACATGGAAACAAGCGTTTGTTGAAAAGAGGGTTGAGAGAATCATATTTTGTGAAGACTGACGCAGTTCAGGCCCTGTGCATAAAAATAACAAGAGATGGGGATTACAAACAAAACCAGATTTGGCCTCTTACATATTGACTCGATGTTGCGCCCCGTTCCTCGCCCGAACCAAACAGGCGTACGGGCCGCACCTGCCGCCTCCTCGTTCCCAACGCCGACGCACCGGTCTGGGAAAGAGGAGAGGAGGAACAGAGGATGGGGGAGGACGATGCTGATGCAGAGTGCTTGGCTTGTGGGGCAGAAAGGGGGCTAGGGAGAGGGGCAGATGCGGCAGGAACCCCCGACTGGCTTCGACAGAGGGTGCTGCTGCTGGTGCTGCTGCTGCTGTTGGTGGGATGCTGAAGTGGCGGCATGTGTTGCTGGACTGGCAGCTTGTGTTGCTGCAGCGGTGGTGATGGGTTGGAGGGAGTGCTGCCATCACTTTCAGTGACAGTGACAGTTTCTGCCCCACATTGTGGTGATAATCCGCCAGCGGCGCCACTGTGATAAGCGCAGTGTGTAGCATCCTTGTTTCCGCACAGCGCATCATCTCTCTTGCCGCATTGCAAACCATCGCTCTTGGAGCACGGCTGTGCATCAGCACTGGTGCTGTCTGCCTTGTGTGAGGAACCTGAAGCTGAAACCGGAACTGGAACTGAAGCTGAAGGTGAAGGTGAGGCGGAAAGGCCTGCACTCCACTGCTTCATCTCCTCCAAAGCTGCAAAAATGCTCCTCTCCACCTGCTTCCTCTCACCTTCCTCTTCTTCCTCCTCATCCTCATCCTCGTCATCACGACTCACGTCGTCGTCACTACCATCATCACCATCATAATCACAGTAAGGATCAGGACTCACACCACCTCCAGCAACAGAACTATTACCAACACCGGCACCATCACCATCACCACATCCATCACCGTTCCATGCCACATAATTGCTCTCCCTGCTATCCGCCTCATCCCCATCATCGCCCTCCCCATCCGCCCCTCTATTCTCAGCCAATCCCAGCAGCTCCTCTAACATGCTGTCCACGTCATCCCCCTCCCCCTCCCCTTCCCCTCCCCCCTCCAGCTCCCCTCTGCCTCCGCCTCTTCCTCCCCCTCCCCCTCCCCCTCCCCCTCCCCCTCCCCCTCCCCCTCCCCCTCCCTCTCTCCCTCCCCCTCCGCCTCCCCCTCCCCCTCCCGCTCCCCCTCCTCCTCCCCCCCTGCCTCCTCCATCTCCCCCTCTCCATCATCCCCAGGTCCTTCCCCATCCGCCATCCATTTCCTTGCCTCCAGCCCCACTCCCCCTTCATCCTTTGCACAGCCTGATACACATTCCTTCGCTGCTACACCTGCAGCCACAGACCCCTTTGCTGCTTCAGATGCCGCTACAGCCGTGGTAGCAGCCTGCTCTGCAGCTGCCTCGATAGCTGCAGCCACCACAACACTCAAACACGCTTCCGCAACCTCCCCTCCACCCACCTCCCTCTCCTTCTCCCTCCTCTTCTCCCTCTCCCTCTCCCGCATCCGCATCCTCACCCGTTCCCTGATACACAGCCTTTCTCTTACCCTCTCCCTCTTCCTCTCCCTCTCTCTTTCCCGCTCCCTCTCCCTCTCCTTCTGCCTCACCCTCACCCTCTCCCTCACTCTCTCCCTCTCCTTCTCCCGCTCCCTCTCTCTCCCTCTCTCCCTCTCAACCGCCCTCCTCACACCCTCCTCCACAGCAGCTTCAAGCACAACCGCCCCCACGTGCACCATCCCTCTCGCTCTCTCCTCCTCCCTCTCCGCCCTCCTCTCCAACTCCTCCCCAAGCTCTCTGCACCGCTCTCTCTCCTCCACCACTCTCCTCGCAGCCGCAGCAGCAGCACCATGAGAAGCACGAGCAGCCTCCCTAGCAGCTGCTACCTCCATCGCCCTCCCCACCTCAATTCCCCCATCCCCCATATCTACTTCCCTCTCCGCCTCCCCTCCCTTCCTCACCTCCTCTGCTCCCCTCCTCACCTCCTCCTCTCTCTGGGCGATTTCCTCCTCCTTTTTCCCTACCTCTACCTCCCTTCCATTCACCTCCTCCTCCCTCTTAGATAAGAGCAGCAGTTGCTCGTCCCTCCTTCTAAGAGCCTCCTCTAAGAGCCACACATCTTCATCCAACTTCTCCTCGCCCTCCCTCACTCTCTGCTCCCTTTCCCTCAGCCCCTCCTCCTGCCTTATCCTCTCCTCCATCCTCACTCGCCCCTCCTCCACCATAGCTGCACTCCGAGCCTCCACAGCAGCCTCGGCTTTGGCAACAGCTGCCCACGCAGCATTCAGCTTCTCCCGAGCCCTCTGCTCAGCTTCGGGCCAAACCTCCTCCCAAACCTTTTCCCGGACTTCCTCCCGAACCTGCTCCCAGAGCTCCTCCCGTACCTTCTCCCGAACCTGTTTCTCAGCCTCGTGCATCCGAGCCTCTGCCTTGGCCACAGCCTGACTTACTGCCGCCTCTACTGCCCCTTCCAACGCAATCCCCACTGTTTCCATCATAAGCCTGTCTTTCTTAGAACCTCCCGATTCCTTCTCAGCGTGTGCAACTGTTACCGCCTCACCCACCGCTGACTCAAAGGCAGCTGCTGCGATTTCCATCGTACACCTCTCTTTCTCAGAAGCTTCCACTTCCTTCTCAGCACGGGCTAGTGTGACAGCCTCACCGATAGCTGACTCAAAAGCAATTGCTGCTATTTCCATTGTAAACCTCTGCTTCTCAGAAGCTTCTGCTTCCTTCTCAGCGTGTGCTAGTGCTACCGCCACACCCACAGCTGATTCCAAGGCAATAGCTGCAATCTCCATTGTGCATCTTTCCTTTTCAGAAGCTTCCTCTCCCTTCTTCTCAGCCCGTGCTACTGCCTGTGTTACCGCCTCATCCACAGCTGACTCCAAGACAACCGCTGCAATTTCCATAGCGTACCTCTCTTTTTCAGAAGCTTCCGCTTCCTTCTCAGCACGTGCTAGTGTAACCGCCTTTCTAATCGCCTCAACCAGAGCTGCCTGCAAGGCAACCTCTGCAATTTCCCTCGTACACCTCTCTTTCTCAGAAGCTTCCTGTTCCTTCTTCTCAGCCCGTGCAACCACCTTTCCAACCGCCTCACCCACAGCCGACTCCAAAGCAACTGCTGCAAATTCCATCATATACCTCTCTTTCTCCGAAGCTTCAGCCCCCGCCTTTCTAGCCGCCTCACCCACAGCTGACTCCAAAGCAACCGCTCCAATCTCCATCGTATACCTCTCCCTCTCAGACGCTTCCGCTTCCTTGTTAGCACGTGCCACCACCGCCTCTCTAACCGCCTCACCAACTGCTGACTCCAAGGCAACCGCTGCAATATCCATTGTGTACCTTTCCTTCTCAAAAGCGTCCTGTATCCTGGCCTCCAGCTCTCTCACACGTGTCTTGAGCTCCTCACTCTCCCTCACATCCCTCCTCTCTTCCGCCTTGCTTCCTTCCATCCACTCTCCCGTCTCCCGCTTCACCTGCTGTAGACCCCTCCCTACCTCACCATCCTTCTCCTTGTCCCCAGACACCACCGTATCCACTACAGCAGCAGCCAAATGCTCAAACTGCTGTAGCATAAGCCCGGCCTCTCGAGTCGACTCAGAAGTCACCCTAATAGCCACCACATCAACCATAGCAGCAGCCAGGTTTTCAAAGTGCTGCAGCACTAGTCCAGCCTCTTGTTTCGATTCAGAAATCACCCTAGCCACCACCGAATCAACCACAGCAGCAGCCAACTGCTCAAACTGTTGCAGCAAAATCCCAGCCTCCTCTGTCTGCCTTTCCGCCCTCTCCCTCTCCTTCCCCATCTCTTCCCTCTCTTGCTGCACGATCAACCTCTCCCTCTCCCCCTTCTCCCTCTCCCTCCTCAACTCTTCTCCAATCTCCCTGCACCTCTCCCTACCCCTCTCCACCTCTCTACGCAGCTCCTCACACCTACTCCTCTCCCTCTCCACCACTCCCTCCAACTCCCGACACCTCCTCCCCTCCCTCGCCACCTCCCTGCCCAACTCCTCACACCTCCTCCTCTCCTCCCCAATTAACCTCTCCACCTCTCGAACCGCCTCTCTCCCTGCCGCTGCTTCACTCTCTGCGGCTGCTGCTACCGCCTCAGCTGCAGCAGTGGCAGCTTCGGCTGCAGCCACTGCCTGAGCATGCAAAGCATCCCTGGCCTCCTCTGCTGCCTCCAGCCTCCCCTGCCACGCCCTCTCCCTCTCCTCGCCCTCTCTTACTTGTTCCTCCAGGGACTTGAGACTCGCCATAGCTGCAGCTGCAACGTCAGAAGCAGCCACAGCAGGAGCTGTACCGTTTGCATCATTGCCCGTGGTACTGTCTACAGCACTGTTTATTGCACTGTCCATGGTATTGCTCATGGAACTGTTTATAACGCGGATTATGCCCTCCTGAGGCGCCCCAGTGCTGCATATGGTCGTGATGCTCTCTTTACTGTTCATCAGGACCATGTCTTCAGCTCTAGCCACTCGTTCCTCCAGCTCCCGCACCTTCCTCGCAGCTTCCTCCAGCTCCTCCTGTGCAATCTGCATCGCTTCTGCTCTCCCCTCCTCTCTCCCTTCCCTCCTTCCTTCCTCTCTTCCCTCCTTCCTCCCTTCCTCTCTTCCCTCTTTCCTCCCCTCCTCTCTGCCTTCCCTCCTCCCTTCCTCTCTCCCCTCCTTCATTCCTTCCTCTCTCCCTTCCTTCCTCCCCTCCTCTCGCCCTTCCTTCCTCCCCGCAATTCTCCCATCCAATCTCACATCTTCCATCCCTTCCCTCCACGCCTCCTCCCTCCCCTCCCTCCTCCCATCGGCCCGCCCTTTAGCATAAGCCTCATCAGCAGCAGCGCGGGCAGCAGCCCTCACCTGCTCCATCTCCTCCCTCGCCTCCTCCATTACTGCCGCCACTGCCTCTGCTATCATCCCCGCAGCGTCGCTCCCACCATCACTCGCAACATCACTTGCGCCATCACCATCACCATCACCATCCCTTTCCACATCCTCCCCCTCCTCTCCTGTCCCATCTCTTCTACCCTCATCGTCCTTCTCTTTACCATCCCCATCGTCACTGTGAGAGCGTTTACTACACTCCCTCTCGCATCCAGAGCCACACACAACATTTGAGCCCACATCCTCCCCAACCCCTGCTCTCCCCCCCTCCTTCCCACGCACAAGCCCATGCTTCTCATTTTCTCCCTCACTGTCCCCCACTCTCATCTCCCTCCCCTCCCTTCCCCTCTGCTCCACTGCGCCTGCCACTTTCATTGCCAGCTCAGCAGCCAGCTTTTCCAGGTCAGCTTTCAGCTGGTTGGCCCGTGTCTCGGCTTCCTCCCTCGCTGCCCTCTCACCTGCAAGCAACGCCTCCATCCGTTCCATTTCGATCTGATTGGATTTAATTCTCTCCATCTCCAATGCGGCCTGCTGCTCCCTTTGCAGCTGCAGCGTACCAGAAGCAGCACCACCAGAACCAGCAGCAGTACAAGAAGCAGCACCACCAGAACCAGCAGCAGTGGCAACAGGATCATCAGCAGAGGCACCAGCGCCAGCAACACCGACAGCAGCACCCGCAGCAGAAGCAGCAACAGCGCCACCAGCATTGGAATCAGCAGGTGAAGACAAAGACACATCCCTTCCGTCTGCTTTCCGCTCTCCCCCTTCCATCCTCGCCCCCAGCCGCTCCTTCTCCTGCTCCAGCCGTTTCATCTGCGCCTGCATGTCCAGTATCATCTCATCCCGGCGTTTCAACTGCGCTCTCAGGCGCTGAAACTCCTCTCTGCGGAACAGAGGCGTGGGCCTGCTGCTGCTGCCACTGCCGCCACTGCTGCTGTTGATGGCACCAGGAGGGGGAGCAACTGTGCTGGTCGGACCAGAAGAGGCAAGTGCAGGAGAGGAGGAGAAGAGGGCAACGGGAGAGGAGGAGAAGAGGGGAGTGGGAGAGGAGGAGAAAAGGAACGGAGGAGGAGTGAAGGCACTGTGGGATGCAGCAGAATGAAAAGCAGAGCCAGTCCCACCAGTCCCACCAGTCCCAACAGCAGCAGCAGCAGTTGCAGCAGTGCTGTTAGCGCCAGTAAAAGGCATGGAGAAAGAATCAGAAAACCTCCTCCCCGCCGGAACACTCCCAAACCGAAACACAGCAGCCGGTGCTTGGCCTGAAACACCAGCTTCAGTAACTGCTGCTGCTGTTGCTGCTACTGCTGGTACTGCTGGTGCTGCTGGCATGCGGAGCCCGCTCGCGCCTCCCTCTGCCGACATGCCAACGCTGCTGCCAAACTGCCACTGTGCCGCATTTGCCGCCGCTGCTGCTGCCCCGGTCGCCCCGACTGCAGCGCCAGCGGCAGAAGCGCTGCCTGCTGCCGAAGCAGACACGGATTCCATTGCCAGATCCTTAAGTGGCGTTGTTTCCCGCCCTTCCTCACCCCCTCCTCCCTCTCCACCTCTTCCTCCTCCTTCTCCTCCTCGCCGTGCCTCCACAGCAGGGGCAGCAGGAAACAGTGCAGAAGACACAGACGAGGACGAGCAGAGCGAGAGCCCATGGAGAGCCGGCAAGCCGCCCGCCTTCACAGGCTCCTGCAACACCTCTCCATTCACCACAGCACCTTCCTGTCTTGTGCCATCAGTTTCAGCAGCACTTGCGGCAGCTGCGTCTGGTAGAGAGGGAGCGAATGGAGTGAGTACCCCAGTGGGAGGCAGTGGGGTAGAGGGAGGAGGAGTCGCCAGGTGGAAATGAGATGCAGGAAAAGGGGAAGGAGCTCCGGAGAAACGCAAGGGAGTTGTGGCGAATGAGGACGCCGCAGCGTTGTGGATGGAAGGAGAGGGCACGAACAGGTGAGTGGCGGAGCTGCCTTGGTTGGACTCCCCAGGAACAAGGCTGTTGGCCTCACCGGCTGTGGCACCAGCAGTGGCAGCAACAGGGGCCCCAGTGGTGGCAACACCAGCTGTGGCAGCAGCAGGGGCAGCAGTACTGGCAGTGAAAGCACTAGCAGCGGCGCCACTAGTGACAGCAGCGCTGGCAACAGAGGGTGCAGGCGTGGTGTTGCGAGCTGCTGTGTGCAGCCGGGCGTGCCTCTTCCATGCAGGGGTGCCTGCGGGGATAGCAGCAGTGACAGCAGGGACGAGTGAGCGATGGACGAGAGAGAGAAAGCGAGCTGAGTAATCATTCGTAAAGCCTCAGAGGGTGGTACGGTGAAGCTCGGTTCTGAGAAGTCTTAAAACCGACCTGTGACAAAAGGGTGGCATGGAAGCTAGGAGAAATCAAGAAGAGAGATGGAGGACTCTTATGTGCAAGGTAAAGGCATGCATGGCAAAGCACGAACACGAGGATGATAGCCTGCCATAACACAGCATGCCACATGCGTACATGAACGAGCATGCGTTCATGTCTCCTGTCCATGTGTGCCTCTCCCATTTCAACTGCGCCTCTCCCACCCCGTGTGTGCCTCTCACCTCCATCTCTCCCCTGAGGAGTTGATTGCATTGCATCTCCATTCATCTGCCCATCCATCTCCACATGCTGTTGCCCACCCACACCCGCCAGCCTTCCCCCCTCCCTCCGCTCCATCCCCCCTCGCCCGCCCTGCCCCTTCTCTCTCTCCTGCTGCAGCCAGCTTGCCAGCCCGCCTGGCAGCGGGGACCCCTCACTCCCTGCGCCTCCCCCTTCCTCATTCCCCCCTCTTTCTCCCCCTGTGCCTCCCCCCCTTTCCGCTTTCCCTCCTCTTCCCCCGCCTCCAGCGCTGGTGGCTGCTGCGCGCCCAGGCCCTGTGCTGAGCGCGTGGGCGGGGGAGAGAGCGTGGGGGCGCAGATGGTCCGCGTACAGGCCTGGGGGGAGGGGGAACGGGAAGGGGAAGAGTATTTGTGAGGTGCCTCCACAAGTGGGCGGGGGAGAGGGCGTGGGGACGCACATGGTCCGTGTGCAAGCCTGGGGGGAGGGGGGAACGGAAAAGGATAAATATATATACTTGAGGCGCTTCAACAAGTGGGCGGGGGTGAGACGCAGGTGGTATGCGTACAGGCCTGATGTGAGGGGGAACGGGAAAGGGGAAGATCAATCGTGAGGCGCCGCAACAAGCGGGCGGGGGAAAGGGCGAGGGGGAAGTGGTCCGCGTACAGGCCTGATGGGAAGAAGAACCTGAAGGGGGAACAAAAATTGTGAGGTGCCACAAATGACGGGGGGGGAGAGGGCGTGGAGGCGCAGGCGGTCCGAGTACAGGCCCTGGGGGAAGGGTGAACGGGAAGGGGGACGAGGAGGGACGGAGGAGGAAGGTGAATAGGAGGGCAGAGCATGCTGTGGGAATTGCATGGGAGACAAGGTGCGGGACGGGGGTGGCTGGGTCTGCATGCTTGCATGCATGCAAACGCACTCACCATACTCGGCTGCAGAAGCCAACAACGACCTTCCACCAGCAGCACCAGCACCAGTCGCAGCAGCGCTAGCAGCACTGTCATAATTTACACTGGGTCTCTCTATCCTCGCTGACGTCACCTCCTCCCCTGCTTCCTCCCTCCCTTCCCTCCTTCCATATCTCCTCCCCCTGACCTCCGTCTTCCCCTTCCCCTTCTCCGCACCCCCTTCCGCCCATATTCCCCCATCGCCTCTCTCTCCGCGCCCCCCTTCCCCCTCTATCCGCGGCCCAACACCTGACAGCGCTCCAGATAGCTCCTTCTGCGGGGAAGCTTCCGCAGCAGGCGTGCCCATACCGGGCGTTCCTCTAACGCGGGGGCCATTGGTGCATGAACGCGCGCCCTGATTGCAGGAGGAGGGCGCGCCGTGCCTATAACGGGGGGACGCGCCAGGGCAGGAGGCGAGGGAACGGGCGGAAGAGGCGGAGGAGTAGCGCGCGGACGCATGGGGCGACCGCTGGGAGGGCCTTGGCGGAGAGCCATGGGGAAAGGCGGACGGGGGAAAGGCGGAGTGAGGGGCGTGCGGGGAGTGCAGGGCGTGCGGGGAGAATGGGGGGCCATGGGGGGAGAATAGGGGCGCGGAGCATGCGCCAAGAGGGGGGCCTGAGGAGCCGACTACGGACTCCGCGGCAATGTGCTGCTGCCTGCTGCGGTGGCACCGCCGCTTGTGGTGTACCACCGCTGCTGCCGCTACCGCGCCCCCTGCTAGCAGCACCCAGGGGAGCGCGTCTCTGGGGAGCTGCGAGCACACGACGAGGGAAGCGGGGTAGGAAGAGTGCGTCATTTCTTGCGTTGAGGAACGTCAAACGCGAGAGAGCGGACCGGACCTATGCGGAATGGTGTCGCTGCTTACCCTCTCAGAGGATATAAACCATCCGCGTGGCTTTCGTCGGGACTTTCCACGTGGGCTTATCCTCACTACTTACCCTAGGAGGCGACGGTTCGCGCGGGCGTATGCGACTGAAGTCGTAATACACCTGCTCCGCTTCTTGCCCCTGCGCCTGCCGATCTTGCGCCAGCTGCCCCTGCGCCTGCCGCTCTCGCGCCAGCTGCTGCTGTCGCCCGTCCTGCAGCTCCCGCCGCGCGGCCACCCCTCTCCCGCTTTCTCCCGCCTCCCCCCTCCCCCTCCCCCTGTCCCCCTCCGCCTCTCGGGTCCTCTCCCGCTCCGCCTCGCGCATTCGTCGCAGCAGCAGCAGCTGCTCCCGCGCGGCCTCCTCCTCCCGCCGCTGCAGCTCCCGCAGAAGCTCGCTGCGGTTCATCCTCGCCTCGAGCCACGTGGACGAATCTGAGACGTTGACTCTCGACAACTTTGAGTTAGCCTCACAGCAAGCGTTGATTCATTCTTGAGCCATTCAAACTAGGTCGTCGACAGGAGGCGGCCCTTTTGGTCGCTGGAAGAACATTTTGGGAAACACCGTCGGATACTGCTTCATTACGTTATTCTTGAGTACCGTCGGGAACACCGTCGGGTACCTCAAGTTGAGGCGTCTCGGTTCTCC